CTCATGGTCAGAAAGTGAATCATTCAAACCACTTGACCATGTGTCCATATGAGTGAAATTGAGTAGACAGAACTACCATACTAATGAAATTTGGTAGGTGGAGTTACCTCATGCGCCTTGTGAAGGAAAGTGGTTAGACTGAACTATTTGGGAGACATCACTGGTTGAGCTCGCATCAATTTGCAAGTCAGCGTGACTGAGGGTTTGAGCATACAGGCTTTGTTCAGACTGTTGATCATGCCAGATAATGCACTCTATCCCAGAAATGGTAACTAAGGTCTGCGCAGCATAGTTGTACTATAAATCACATGCGGGATTTGTGGGTGTTGCACAAACACCAATGTGCTCGAGCAGGCGCCTGCACACAGAGAGTGGTTAGCCATCCTAGTAGATAGGCATCTTCAGATACGAGTGATCAGCCATTACCTTACTTAATTAAAAATATACAAAACCCCAGTAGTAGTTATTTTTCTTTCTTTCTTTTTTTTTTTTTTGTTGGGTGCAGGTAAATTAAGTATTTTTTTTAGTGTCTTTCAGGCAAATGCAGAGTGAAAATAAACATATAGTAACATGGCCTCCATTTCAATATTTTCCTTTTCCAACGTTAAATTGGATATTTTAAATATACATAAAGATGTTCTGATAAATAATTCATAAGAGGTATTAATTTATCTATTCAGCTATGAGTAGCTAACTACTGATTAGATGACCTTCAGATCAATGCACTTACTACTTAGCTATTACTCTCACTTACATATAGAGTACTTGTATACAGATTCATTTTTAACCTTGTTTTATTATTGTGATGCTTTAATTCAAATGTCTTAAGCAGTAATAACAAGTATCTTGCTTATAAGCCATAACATTCAGTTCAATCCTCTTATTACTAATTTATCAATCTGCAAGAATTAAACTACTACATTAATAGAATTTAACTGTATACACTAAATACTAAATTATAAAGCAGTAAATAAACACATACACACAATATATATGTACATGTGTGTATTTTGGCAGTAAATTCATTTAAAAAGGTATACTTGCAAAAATACAAGAATTAAGAAAAAAATGTTAACTGTTAAAAAAAAAAAAAAAAAAAAAAATTACAAATATTGGAAGTAATAATTATTCAAAAAATAAAATAGGCAACAGAACCAGAAACCAAATTCAAAATAAAATGCTAAAAAATAAGTTGCCAAAGAAAGCAAAGGGTTCAGTTGAAAATTACTTCATGTAGATCGCTGAAACAATGTTGGAAAATACGTTTATAATCTTGAACTATCAATAAAAATATTTCCAAGAAAACAAGAAAAATTAGCCAAAAAAAATCTTCTTAAAATAAATAATTCCAAAGTCTTAAATGACACACACACAAAATATAAATACAGATTTGAAAAAAAAAAAAAAAAATTTTCCCTCCTCATCTTTTTTAATTGCCCTTTTCTTTTTTTTTCTTGTCATGAAATACACCGTTTTCCTTCCGAAATGGTGTTGATAAAATAATCCTAAAGGGAAAAAAAAAATGCCTTTATGTGTGTGCGTGTATATATGCAAAAAAAAAAAAAAAAAAAATGGCTGAAAAGTTCATACACTGACCAAGATATGTCATTTAGTCTACCAACTGCTGTGTCTACTTACATTTATATCTTGGTCAGCCTATGAAGTTTCCAGCCAACCATCATATATATATATATATATATATATATATATATATATATATATATATATATATATATATACACACAGTCTACCCAAAAAATATATAACCACTTTAGGAAAGGAAAAACTTGTCTTTCATAGTTTTTAGACTTTTAGCTGGGGTGGGGGGCTAAAAAATGTTGTGTATTGCAGAAAACTGACTACATTAGCAGCACTTAGACAAGAAATTGAAAATACATGTGCAGCAATGCCACTGAACACATTGGCCAATGTTGCCCATGCAGTAAAAAAAAAAAAATATCTTAATCTAAAATTCTCAGCACCCCTCTTTCATACACATGTCATCACACCAACGTAACAAAATTTAGTCTGATGAAGTCTTAAAAGACAAAACACTTCATACAAAACTTTTTTTCCACTATTCATACATTTTCCCATCAATATATATATATATATATATAGTAACAGTAATAAATCTGCTGATATATAATCCCAAGTGGATCCTAGTAATATAAAATATTAAAACTGATTCACTAAAAAAGAGCTCAATGTATTTATTATAACAGAGACAATAAATAGTATTACACAACAAAATCCAAAATTATGTTGTATGGGGGAAAGATCTATTTCAACTAATGAAAACTTTGTTGGTCTTATTCAACTCCAGTGTATAGATTGAGTTCATGTCAGAATTAGAAATTTAACTGTGACAGCTGTCGAAAAATTGATACAGAATTTATCCATTTCAATGTTTCAGTCAGACAAAATGCACGAGATAGTGATGAGGGGAGGGTGGAAGGTATTAGTCTTGAAGGGAATAGGTTTTATAAAATTAAATTTGGATATTAAACATATGACATTAAATTGGGGTTATATGAAGGATGAAGTTTTAATTTGAAACTAAAAGAGGACTGAAAAGGGAGTTTTATAAAAAAAAATTTTATATATAAGGTTCCTCAAAAATACCCTTCTAAAGATAGGTTATAAATTATAATTAAAAATAAGATGTATTTAAAGAAATTAAAAATAAGTCATATTTAGATATTTTATATTAAATTTAAGAATATATTTTTTTTTAAATTTAATATTAAAGAATAAAAATATATGTAAAAATAAAAGCATAATATGATAAAATAAATTATACATTTTTAATTTAAAAATAAGTTAAATCAAGTTACATTAAAAAAAAAAAAAACATAAAAAGCTATATTTAAAAAAACTAAAAAAACATAACATAAAAAATATATAGATAAAGAGGTGTAAGTGATAAAAGAAAAGAGTTCTTAGAACAGGGGACAATTATAAGATGTAATTAATATGGTGAAGAAATGGAAATAAGAAATAGTTATACATTCGACATTTGGAGAGTTAGAGAATAATAAGGTAATAAAGTAAAATCTCTATTATAAAAATTTAAATTTGTTTTTATAGCAACATTCTATACACCAGGGTTGAATAAGACCAATGAAGTTTTTGCCAGTTGAAATCGATCTATCCCCCATATGAGGTAATTTTGTATTTTTTGCCAGTTGAAATCGATCTATCCCCCATATGAGGTAATTTTGTATTTTTTGCCAGTTGAAATGGATCTATCCCCCATATGAGAGGTAATTTTTGTATTTTTTTGCCAGTTGAAATCGATCTATCCCCCATATGAGGTAATTTTGTATTTTTTGCCAGTTAAATCGATCTATCCCCATATGAGGTAATTTTGTATTTTTTGCCAGTTGAAATCGATCTATCCCCTTATGAGGTAATTTTGTATTTTTTGCCAGTTGAAATCGATCTATCCCCCATATGAGGTAATTTTGTATTTTTTGCCAGTTGAAATCGATCTATCCCCCATATGAGGTAATTTTGTATTTTTTGCCAGTTGAAATCGATCTATCCCCCATATGAGGTAATTTTGTATTTTTGCCAGTTGAAATCGATCTATCCCCATATGAGGTAATTTTGTATTTTTGCCAGTTGAAATCGATCTATCCCCCATATGAAGTAATTTTGTATTTTTTGCCAGTTGAAATCGATCTATCCCCATATGAAGTAATTTTTGTATTTTTTGCCAGTTGAAATCGATCTATCCCCCATATGAAGTAATTTTGTATTTTTTGCCAGTTGAAATCGATCTATCCCCCATATGAAGTAATTTTGTATTTTTTGCCAGTTGAAATCGATCTATCCCCCATATGAGGTAATTTTGTATTTTTTGCCAGTTGAAATCGATCTATCCCCCATATGAAGTAATTTTGTATTTTTTGCCAGTTGAAATCGATCTATCCCCATATGAGGTAATTTTGTATTTTTTTGCCAGTTGAAATCGATCTATCCCCATATGAAGTAATTTTGTATTTTTTGCCAGTTGAAATCGATCTATCCCCCATATGAAGTAATTTTGTATTTTTGCCAGTTGAAATCGATCTATCCCCCATATGAAGGTAATTTTGTATTTTTTGCCAGTTGAAATCGATCTATCCCCCATATGAAGGTAATTTTGTATTTTTTGCCAGTTGAAATCGATCTATCCCCCATATGAAGTAATTTTGTATAACACACACACGCACACCGAGAAAGAGATATTTACTCATACAGACAAAAATACTTTCATACTTTGTAGCAATTCTAGCTTTAATCAACATTTACTAATTTTTAGTAAAGCTAAACTTCAATTGGTAGATTTGTAGTTAGATTATTTTTGGCACTATTATGGTTCTATTTAATTTCATATCAGGAATTTTACTGCAATTACACCCACTCACATTTTACCAATACACACAAGAATCTTGTACAAGAATTAAATATCCACTTTTTCTGAGCTGTTAAAAATGGGATTTATGGCTCTTCTAATGAAATTACATTTTTATTCCTATTGTTACAACCATGTTTGGGCATAACGATATTTCTGCTTTAAGTCTTTCATTTGTAAACCTATAAAATCTTTAATACCAAAGGTTATACATATTTATTCAATGCATCTAATTCCTGATGCCCAGTTCAAAGCTGTAACCACTAAGCTATTTCTTTTATTATTTCTCCACTGGGCTTTCAAGAAGTGAACTAGATTGATTATTTTTAACTCATATAGCTCTTCTGTCAAAATTAACACTTCATCAATTATTCAATACTGGCTGCTGTAAAAAAAAAAAAAATAAATGTGAAGTTACAATCATCCCACAAATAATTCACAGCAAGTGGTACTTTGTCCAGAATTTCCACTCAGCTAATTAGTTCCCAAATAATATGAATAACAAATACTTCTCCAGTTGGTTTTTTTAAAAGATGTAACTCAGTAACCTAGACTAACATCCTCATCATTGTTGTTTATAATTGTATTGGATTATGCCTATATCATGTTAAAACACTAGTTTCCTTACAATCACCAAAGTTAAGCAACATCAAGCCTGGTCAGTAGGTAGATGGGTGATTGCTTGGGAATACCAGGTGTCGTAAGTTTGGAGGTGCGGGTGGTGTAATGAATAACAGCTCGGAACTGTTAATCAGAGAGGTGTGTTCCAATTTAAGTTGGGTTCACTTACATGCAAACACCTTTAAGAAAAGGCATGAAACCTCTTCTTCCTTCAGCTATGGGTTAATTTGTAAAATTACAAAATCATTATTATTTAAAAAAAAAAAAAACTTTTACAATCTAAAATTATTTTCTGGCTTTAAATGATATGCAGTGGATTGATAAGCCATAAAAAAACAATTAATCAATCAATCATATAATTGTACTATTCTGCTCAGTATATTCTCTGATCATCTCTGACAGTAATTTTTATGAATTTTATTTATCATAATTAAGTTTTCATTGGCACTTTTTTCTTACCATCTTCAAATAACAAGGTACAGATATATACCTCTTTAATTTATATCAAACATAGAGAAAAGGAAAAAAGTCAGAAATTTAAGAAAAAATACAAAAATGCATTACATAGAGGATCAAACTATTAACTCTTTAACCCAAACATTGATTGAGTGATTTGTTTTTTATAGATTATCAACCCTTTGGGGTTTATTTAAAGCCAAAAAAAATATTTTGAATAGTAAGAACAATTCTTCTTTTGCAAGTGAATAATGCATTAACAATTTTCTGAGAATGATTTTTCCAGATACAAGTTTCACTATTTAACCCATACCTAGAGAGGAGGAGGTGGATTCATACTTTTCCAAAGGGTATTTGCATGCAAATGAAACTAATGATCCTGACTCTACTCTCTCTAATATCTCATTCCTAGTCCAAAGAAGATGGATATTAAAATTATTCAAGTGTTCAAGTCAACAATTAATAATTCCTGCTAATGAGATATATATATATATATATATATATATATATATATATATATATATATATATATATATAATATCATAAATCCAACACCAACACTCTTATACAGATTGATGGTAAGAACTTGAAGTATGTGGAGATATTTAGGAAGTAAGATAAATACAAATGCATCCCTTGATGGCAAAATAAAAAATTAGATCACCAGAACTACAAGTGCATTTGGGAAGCTTCACCACCACCTATGGAAGGAAAGAAGTATCAAATTGGACACCAAAATACAGGTTTATAGAGCAGCCATCTTAGCAACACTGTATTGTATAGCTCAGAATTGTGGACCCCAATATAGGTCCCATATCAATCAGCTGGATGTCTTCTATAAAAGTTGTTTCCGTGTGATCTGTGGCTATACTTTTGACAATAGGGTATCCAATGTTGATCTTTTTGCAAAATGCATGATTGGTGGAATTGAGACTATCCTGATGCAGTCCTAAATTCGCTGGGCTAGTCATTTTGCAGGATGAGTGACAATACCTAAGGTCCTGATGTATAGCCAGCTTGACAGTAGACAAAGTAGTTTTGGACAGCAATGTCTCAAGTATAAAGATGAGCTATAGAGTAACCCCTCAGCTGTCAATGTGTATCATACTAACTTCGACCTTAAGTTGCCCTTAATAGAAATAACTGAAGATATTTTTGCCAGAGTGGTATCTAAAATTTCAAAATCAGTTATATTGACTAGCTAAGAGACGAAAGACAGCAAATATTTCTGTTGCTATGTCCCGAGATCCTCACTGTGGCACAATATGTGGACGAGCTATAGTAAGATTAAAGTATCATATATGACACAAACATAAAAACTGAATGAGGTTGTTGGATCCTCATATGTCAAAAATTAACAGGAGAGTCCATCATCATCACACACATTATATTTTTATTATAAGAGATTATAATAAAAAACATTTTGAAATCACTACACAAAATCTTTTGTGTTTCAATATTATGATTATATTTCTTGTCATAGCCTGAAGAAATACAATCATAGTATTGAAATAAGAAAGCTTTTGTGTAGCGATTTCAAAATGTTTTTATTATAATCACTTATAATAAAAAGATAATAATATATTGCTCTACTTTGTATTGAGCACTTTCTTTAAAAGTAAATGCTATGAACAGTGTATTTTTACTCCATCTGTTCTTTCTCTAATTTGGAGATTATATATATATACTTTGTAGTTGGTGATGTTAAAATAATTTACCTTAATTAGGACATTACAAAAAATAAAAACATTCCTAATTAAAAGTCATGTGTTCTTATGAAGTTATAAAATCTGAACTCATTCTAAAAGTATTCTCTGATACAATGTTCTATTTCAGAATATAAATAACAAAAGAATAAGTAGCTAAAATCCAACAACATTTCTCTTCTATTGAATATATAGAATTATATACATTTTTTTCTTCATTTTCTTTCAAATATTGCCTGAATATACATAAATACCTACTAGATTTTATAGTATATTACTTTGACAGGCTTACATTAGTTTACTCGGAAATCATCTTTTAAATGTGACTAGAATTTATCATAAGCAAATGTGTTAGAAAATAGGTTAATTCTCAAACTAAAACTGATAGCATATCTTAAAATTTTATAAATATGTGTCACTTTATATGAATTATTTTCTTCATAATTCATTTAATCCTATTAGCTAAGGTAACCCTAAGAATCATGACAATATTATCAAACAATGATTTTATTGAGATCAAAACAGTTTTTTTTTTCAACACACTAGAGTAGAAATGAAGATAATTTATCTTCATTGGTATGAGTTACGTTTAATGAAAAACACTAAAATGGTTATCTTTCCAAATAAAATTCTGTATCACAATTAATTGGAATATTCATGTTATTCAAAATATGCTTATTCAGGGAAGAAATATTTTGCAAAAACAGAATGAATTTTTAAATGGTTGCTTGTAGAGTCAACACTACTTTTCAAATAGATTGTAAAAAAGACCACAATAACTACATATAAATCACTTTAGTGGCCAACTAAAATTTAAATAATTCAAGAATAATTTATGCAAAATTTGAACCTTACAAACAAAAACAATAATTAAAATGTATGCCACTTGTCACCACAGCAAGCTACAGAGTGAAAAAATTAATATTCTCCTACAAGACCTATGTAAACAATTTTAAACTCTATCAAAACTTGAAAGTGAGTATTGTGTAGTTCCAGCCCAGATGTAGCCTTTTACCCCACCTAGACGAAATGTTGCAAGCCTATCATTATTTCCATAGCAAATATTCAGAAGAGTTCCACTCTTTAGTTATGCTAGTTCAAACTTTTACTGCTAGGATATGCCACATTACTTCCACAAAGTTGAATCATCCTCATTTCCTCTATATACCAAATGTAAGGAGAAAGGTCCAATCAGACAGCTTTTAGCTCCATACTGCCATTTTTTGGAACAGACTCCTGCATGGAGGTTTTCCTGATCACTACAATCTTAACCTCTTAAGTTAAGGGTCAATCATTATCTATCCACATTATCCTCACTTTCTACCACCTTCTCATATTTATACAATGTATCATTCAATAACCCTCTACCTTGAGTGATTCTTGAGCCTTGTATTAGATGAATTTTAGTATTAAAAAATCTTGCATAAAATTTTGAAAATGGATGAATGAGTGAATATATGAAGGGATTTTTTTATAAAATTTTTTGAAAAAAAAAAAAAAAAAAAAAAAATCACCTGGTTGTACTGAAATAGATATATTACTGTGTAAATGTAGGTTTATATATTTTTGTTATGAGTGTGCATATGTATGTATCTTATTTCATAACTACTTTTTTTTTTAACTTCTGAAGGTTGACTACACTAAAGAAAGAATATGATTAGTTTTTCAATTAAGTTTCTTTCATTTTTGAATGAGAAAAACTTTTCCTTTGGGAAATAAATACTTGCATTTTCAACTCCTTTATGAAGCACTAATGATTGTTAATCTGATAACATTGGTATAGGAATCATACCATGGGATTCACACATAAATGAATATTCAGAACCCAAAATGTACATAGGGAAGAGCTGCAAGATAACATTCACAAAGGAATATAAAAACTTTTTAAAGTTTTAATTATGAAAAAATAAAAAAATAAATTGATTGCTAAGGAAAGAGTTGGGAGTTAAATATGAATAAGACGTTTTAGAGTTTAACAAAAATAAAAGACAACTTTATGTAAAGAGAATTATTCAAAATGATAATCTACTTACATCGTCACTTTGGTGAAACAATGGAAGAAATGTCTTCTCCAATAGATTATAAGCATGTTCATAAGCTCTGTAAAGAAAAGGGGAGAATAGACTGAACAAAATTTGGCTTAGTTTGCTTGTAAATCCTAACAATGTTTTATTGATTACTATCATTCTATATCCTAAAAAGTTTACAGTGGAATAAAAATCCATAATATATAATTATCAAAGGATATGTAATATTTTATACACAAACATGTAAAGATATTTCACATTAAAATTCTCTATACCTAGTTGGGTAGGGATTTTGCTTTTATAATAGATTACATGGAAAAGAGAGAATATGCTGAAAAGGAAAATAATGTTGACAAAGACAAAAAGAGAGATAACATTAAAAATGCTTCAATTGAACTTCATTGAAACCTTAAAACAATTTTAGAATATTCAAATTCGTTTTTGTTGTTGCTTTGTAAATATGATGAACCAGATATAAATCTGCCAGATTAAATTTTGTAATCAGCATGCCAAGTTAACTAATGACTGATATTTGCAAAAATCTTTAATTTCAGCTAAATGCAATTTTGTAATATGCATTTTGTTGACAGAAAATAATAATCCAAGTTCATATTCGTATATAAAAATAATTATAGATGATCCCCAGCACCTTGGGATTGCTGTAAACAGATTTCATAAATGCTAAGGAAGCTACAAAGAAAAATATGTTCACAACTCAATCATCAAATACTGAATTAAGACTGTAAGTTAATTGGACAAAATAGTTGATCTCAGAAAAGAAAACCAATTCTAAGTGTAGCCTTCTGTTCATTGAGGATTGTGCCAACAACTTCACCTAACAATAGACTAAGTAACTACACTCCCCAAAACGGATATCTTAAAATAGAATGTTTATCTTAAATATCAATGATATTTCAAAAGAAAACCCTTTCAATAGGTACTTTTATTTGTTGTATCCTTTTCTTTATTTTCTAAAAAGCAGTCTCAGAAAAAACTTGTAGTAGCCAAAAAAAATTATAAAAGGGAAATTGTTTTGTTTTTTTGAAAAGTATAATATTCTAGTCTGCAGATTTGTACGTCAAGTCTTGCAATAAAAAAAAAAAAAAATGTAAAGGCAGGCTCCAAATTAATTATTATGGCGCAGTGCCATCAAACATATCTGCATAAATGCTTTATACATGACAATGCAAAAAAAAAAAAAAAAAAAAAAAAAGAAGAAACAAGGTTTTATTTCACAAAATGTCTTAATAATGTACTACAGTAATTTCAAACAAGATTAAAAAGAAAAGATTTTCTTGTAAAACACTTCTGTCTAATAAACTACTGAATATGAAATATTAACATTTTATTGATAAATCAATTATTTCCATTGACAATAAGTAATTATCAAAGAGGAAAACTCATTTTTTTTTCTCCTTAACACATTGACTGCCAACCACAAGTTAACGCATTATTGGCAGTTTTTATTATGGTGCCAACCGATTTATCTTGTGTTTGGCATTTTCCGATAAATTTTCATCAGCGGACACAAAGAACAAGTTTATTTGCAGTGATACTTTTAGTGTGTAAACAATGTTAAGACTTCAATTCAATGTATAAATTAACTCATAGAAATTTTTTATTACTGAATTTGGTTATTATAAAGTTGGTATTTAAAGTCAGATTTTGTAATTAACCTCTGTAGTCAACATGTTAAAAGTAGGTAAAAGTTTGAACTCAAATATTGACTTTTAAACAGTCTTACTTTTTCGTTTTATTGGTAATTCTGCTTTATGGTTTAATGTTTTAAAAATGTATCAACAGTTCTCTTTGATGAGAGTTGATTGAAAAGCCGTCCACTTAAAGAGGAATTATATCACCTGTTTCTTTTGATAGTTAATTACAAGTCCCTACTTTTCAAGCTTTATTTAGGTTCTGTACTTAGAATCAGAAAGAGACAACTGAAATTTCTGCAACATATATTGAAGAAAGATGGCTTGGTGAATTTGACACTCACAAGAACAAATTGAAAGCAAGAGTGTCAGAGGGAAATGGCAAATAACCTAACAAGATTGTGTAAAAGAATGGCAGACTAAGGAATGGGAAGGATAGCAAAAAGCAAAACATTACTAAGTGTTATAAAAGACAAAAAGTTGTGGAGAGCCATAATCAACCATGTACTGAAGACATAGCATATAAATGAAGACCTCTAAAAAGATGTCTAAAATTGTTTATAATTCAAAAATGTGTATAACTTCTTAAATTAAAAAATAATATAAATAGTTAAAACCATTATATTCAATATACTTAAAAAATAGATCAATAAGGGCAGCAGCAGTATTAATTGTTTCCTTATAAGGAAATATTTGGTATTCATCAACTGAGCAGCCAGTGCTGCTTTCAATTGAAATTTATAAAAATCTTCCTCTTAAAATAAATTTTCAGGAAAATGTTTCTCAAGTTCTGATCTGTTACTGCTTTTGAAAGTCCTCAAGTAATCTGATTTCTGTTATATGGTACTGTGATTATGTAGCACCATTCCACAAGATTCAAAGAAGGATGGTCTTTACCATGACCCACAGGCATCACTCATTGAAAGCCATTTTTTAGCCACTGATCTTAAAAAGCAGTTGTATATAGCTGACAGTTTAGATACTTATGAACAGATTTTGTTTGGTTTGTTTGTTTAATGGTGTATCAACTCCTTATGGGTCATTTAATGCCGGAATTTTGTTTTGTGAACATTGGTTGTTTTTTGTTTTTTTTAAAGTGTTTTGCTGGTAATTTTTTCTAATGTATTTTTATATTTTCATATTTCAACCCTAGTTTGTGGGGCAGGTGTGTGTGGGGGGGTTACTCTTTGCCTATAGCTGGGACCCTAACAGGTGCTACCACCCTGCAATCATGTTTGCATGTCATCTATATGAAAGACTCAATCTGACAAGGCTACTTAAGAAGTGACTTGAGATTTGAGGTTATTGTTTTGGATTTGTAGCAGTCTGCAATGTTGTGCGAAACTAACACTAACACAACCTATTCTATGTTCAATTTCCTTATCTACTATAATAAATTTATAACTGACCAAGTTATTTGATGATCTTTCATATCAGTTGCAATTCACAGATACTAATTTGTAATGTTTGTTAATGGATTTTTAGTAATGATACTGTAATAATTTCCAATGAATTCCTATACAAAAGTAACAATTACTATATTTCTGACAAATTCTATTCAAAGATTACAGAATGTTTTCTTCACCACATAGCACCAAATATAATCAATTTTACACTTGAATTGAGAAGTCAAGCATAAACAGACAGGAAAGATTAATTTTTGAAGCAAATAAGTACCTAAATAAATTTCTACATGGCTGCAACAGATCTTGACAAGAAGGACTAAACAAGTTTTCTTCTCCGGTTTCAGATCAGTTGGTCAAGAAGAATTCTATCCTTGACAACAACCAGTTAATCTTCAATTTCATTTATTGTCTGTTGGTGCAAAGCATATAACCATGAAGCACAAAAGGCTGATGAAATTTTATGAATCAGTTCATCAGTTGAAAACTTTTTTTTTTTTTTTTTTTTGATAGATGTATTCTGTTAATATTGGAATAATGCCAAAGATGAGAGAAAGGGTTGAGAAATTTATTCAGCTCAGTGAACCAAAAGACAATATAATTTGATTTGAGCCTTAAAGATTAATAATAGTGACAAAATTGATTTGAATGTGGAAAATACTGTCAAATACTAAAAACAGCATCACCGAATAACTTTTCACCACAATTATTACCACGTTATTTAATAAAAACTCAAAATTGATTGATCAGTCTGTTTCCTGTAACCAAAAAAAAAAAAAAATCATTAACAAAAAAAAAAAAAAAAAAAAAATCAGTGAACAATTTGCAGTGCAATCAACATTAACTGATTCTACACAGTAGTGAATTATTTGTAACAGGTAATGTATGTACAATAACTCGCTTTGACTGACAGGCAGGCCAGGTGAGGGTAGACAACAGGTCCAAACCCTCGATAATCTCAGGTCTGGCAGCCCAATTGCATGTGAAGAGTGATTTTGGTAGATATATACATAGTCATGACGTTCTGTTGAGGCAGGACCAGGATGAATCTCACAAAAAGCAAGGTGGGTCCTGCCCAACAAAGGGTTTGTCTTAATGATTTGAGGAAAAGTCAGATATTCTTTCTGACACCCAACTCATACAGTACACCAAGAGTTTTTGTCAAGACACCATCTCCAGGAATGTTACCATGCAAGGCTTGAGACTAATTCCTAGCCATATATCTCATGGACTCTTCTGTCATTGATTAGCGTGGGCTGTTGACCCACACAGTCCGGGGACTCTTTTGCACCTCAGTTTCTAGGAACTAACAACCAGCCACCCTGCACATATGATTTGATTATAGTGGTGAAGGTTTTGTGCAGAACCAACCACACTTTTTGAAAAGCCAAATACAGAGACATGTTTAACCATGTGCCATAGGGTCCCCAAAAAACCCTCCACAAGTTTTGAATTCAGAGTTGTCCTCTTCCTAGACCAGTTGCCATCGAAGGCTATAGAATGCCGTCTTTCCTGCTATTAACCCATGGCGGGGAGAAAGAAGAGGATTCATAACTTTCCCAAGGGTATTAGCACATTGTGGAATGTAATGAATTCAAATGGAATTTGAACTCGGTTTATAAAAAGCATTTGCCAAATTGTAGCATATATGGGTAGCAATCTGGATATGCATGTAGTGTAATGGTTAGTGGCTCAAACACAAAAATCAGCAAGCCAAATTCAAATTCTAGTTGATTTTGTTACATCCACTTTCACACAAATACCCTGGGGGAAGGTATGATTTCCCCCACGGCTAAGGGTTAAATAGCAAGGTAGATTGGGCTCTCTAGGTTTGGTTGGTACCCTGTCTTAGAGAAGGACAACTCTGAATTAAAAAAATCTCACAAGTCACCTGAAGCTGTACAAAGATGGTTATATATGGCGTGAAGATACTATGTATGTAAAACAAAAATGCAATAGATTTCAATACCTATGGATGATGCCACTAGAGTGTGATTATCCAGAATATCACCGACACAAATGGGCATTGGAGGCCCAAGGAATCTGTTTGTAGGCAGCATAACAGTTATTGGCATGGAAAATGAAATCAGCAAGCAACATACAAATTCCAACCTGGGCTGCTTTGTTCACTGAGACAAATACTAGCTATGGGTTAAACAGCAGGTTGACTGTTTAACTTTTTACATGGTAGTCAGTCTAGGAGGAGGATTCTGATTTCAAAATTGTGGAGGAGGCAATATAAAACCACTTCACTATACTTCTCTAAAACGTTATGCAACATTGTTAATGGAAATGGTTATATATAAGTACAGACAATCCTGAAAAATCCATTTGGTTATTTCATAAATATATTCAAATATTCATCTCTTCAGACCAAAGGTTTTTTAATAAATGGAATCAATTTGTCCATCCAAAAGGAAAAGAGAGAGGAAAAAAGAAGGAAAAAGAAAAAAAAAAATTATATTAAAAGAGGAAGAAAGAAAAAGAAAAATTTCAATATAAGGCTTTAAAAAAATGGGGGCGGAGAGAAAAAGAGAGAGAGGGAGGATGGATGGATGTTGGATTTAACGGCATGTCAACTCCTATTAGAGAGGGAGGGAAAGAAAAGAAAGAAAGAAGAATTAAACACGAGTCGATAGGGTGACATAGAAATGATTTTTTCTTTAAGAGCTGAACAAATTAATATAGAGGGTAAGAGGATAAGACTTAAAATAGATACAGTAATGTGTCTAATATTAATGTCATTTTCAACAGCAAAGCAATCATCATCACATTATAATCATCAGAATTTCAAATTAATAATAATATTTGACATCAATAAAGTTAAATGAATTAAAATATAAAAAAATATTAATGAAATAGATAAATTAAGAGATAAATAAAGAACAAATTTAAAGAACTTCAAGTAAATAAATATCTATATAAGGACGAAAATAATAATAGATATCATCAAAAATTAATATAAAAATAATTAATAACAAGATTAAAACTGATGTAGACAAGAAAATCACATAAATGATCATATACAAAAATAAATACACGTTAGTACCCATATGAAACAGAATCAACATTTCAAGTGTACATTCTCCAAAATCAAAATTTTTAGGGAATTTTAAATCTGTTCTTGTGTCTACACTTGAAAATAAGATCATTCCTTTGATTCAATAATTCATCACCATTTTTATACTTAATCATTATGATTTTTTTTCTCTATACATAAATTGTATCTGTCCCGGAAGTTGTTGGGAGTCTGAGATTGACAAATGATTCTCCATTTGATTTGTGGGGTGAAGCCTCCATCTTTAAGATTTCAATAATGTTTGGATAGAGCAGTTTGATATGATCTTATAGCTTCTAAAATAATTGGAAGTATTAGACTGCACATGTTTTGTCTTTGTGAATTTAAATTGGTGATTGTACATTAACCAGCTGGGCATATACTCTAGGGATGGACAAACTGTGCATATCTGTTCATGAATGGGTGTATACTTAAGAAACAGGGTCAAGTGTCTAGTGAGTTGTTTTTTTTTGTTTTTTTTTTTTTAAGCTTAAAGGATGGGACAGTAACTGGGTTACCCAACCTGAAGGTATTTATAACTGGGCCCCATCGGCATGGTTACACACTGCTTTTATCAAAACTTGTCACCATCTTGCACACATTTGGTTGTCATGCATGTGCCTGATATACCCTTAATAGACTGAGTATAATGATGGGTATATTAAGCTTAACATATTTCTAACTCAGTGCCACACTACTAATACACTGCTTTTTTATACAGTAATAATTCGTAGCAACAAGTAGTTCATCAAAAAAAAGAAGGTTTCCTCTATTGTAAAGTTTGAAAAAATCTTTTCATTATTTAAAAATAGAACTTTTTAAAAACACTATCATTTTTTTTCATCACTAAACCCCAAGCAAGGCAATAAAGCCACTAAGACACAAGTGGATTACTGAGAGTGAAAGAACAAGAGAAAAAGAAAACCATTATTAAGGAGAGAGAACACAAAAAGAATAGGAATTAAGGAGACAGAAGATAATGACTGACATTGCATTTAAATTTTGAAGATCAAAATTGATTGGAAGCAAGAAGCTGGAAATGAGTTCCACAAGCAAGAAGTGCAAGAGAAGAAACTGTTAGCATAGAACTTATGGTTACATCTAACCATTTCAACTGTAAAATTACGAGACCTATTGATCTAGCTATTAATCTAGTACTCTGCTTAAATTTATAAAGCTGAGGTATTTATTTATAGACATTTATAGAAAAGGCACAGGGAAGAGGCAAGCTACATTATGGCAGTGTGAAAGTTACTGAAATTGGGATGTCAGGTCAGGACTGATAGCATTGCACATTCTTCTTAGGAGTTTATCTAGAATCTCTAAATACATAACAGGAGCACCAGAGTAGATATAGCAGCAATATTCAATGCATGGACAAATGGTAGATTTATAAATGTGTAATATAGATTCTGACAAATTTGTACAATACAATGAATCAACTTTCCAGTCAGCAGACCTAGCAATTGATTCAATATAATTTTTCCATTACATTAACCTGAGAAGGTGTAATGAGTCCCTGTCCTGAAGGTTAGCATCAGCCATGCTGATGGAAAAAAAAAAGTTCTCTAAGACCATTAAATGAGAACAGTTTTGTTTTGGAGGCATTAAAATAACAAGCCATCTCTTGCCCCAGTTAACAACATAAAACATTTAACTATAAAAACAACATTTTGTATTGGAATACTGCAGCAAAATAGTTTAAATTGCTATTAAGTATTTATTTATTTTTTTGTTTCATTTGAAGCAAATATCAATATACTTTCTCAGCCCTTAACACTGTAACAGCAAAAAAATCGACAAACTGACAACCAAAAAGAGAATATATTTTATTATAAAAAACAAAATGTTAAAAGCATTTTAGGTTTCATGTTTAAATAAATCATGATGTCCATTGTCTCATAAAACATACAATTAGCTTAGAGATGCCCTGCATCCAAATAGTTTTAAGGAAAAATCTATAAAATATAAAAATTGCCAACTATTTTTTGTTGCAATAATAATTAGGACTAAGTAATATTTTTGTTTAATTTGAAATGTTGTCCTTAAGGTAATCAGAACAATCATTTATTTTCTATTTGGTTGATCTAAGAAGCCATTTCTGAGTAAGTCCTAATTTCTAATTTCACAGGAAAAAGTTTTAATCTGCATTGAACATTTAATGTAGGCATTATTACTTGTGACCTGGGTTTATATAATGATTTTTGTTTTAATTAGGTTTTAATGTATTAATTGCTTGACATTAAGTACCTTAAATAATATACCTATTTTAGGCTTTCAAAAGAATTATTGGAGAATTCATAGATTTCTTATATCATCATTCTCAACCTCCCTATAGTTAATCAGAACTCCATTGACAATCCCTTTCCACACTGTTTGGTCCTGTATTGCTGTCCCCAGATTCCCAATGTCCAACCCTGAGTCCCAAGCTATGGTGTATGGGAAAGTCAATTTTCATGAGAAGACTCTTGCCATACAAGTAAGGATGAGATGATTTCCCTGACTGCAGTGGCTGGCAAAATAATCATTTTTGTTTGATCTAGAGATTGGTCTCAGTTCTCCATAAAGTATTGCATGAGATGTTCTAGATTTTTCTAAGAAGATTTGTATATGTTCCATCCAGTCATCTTTCAAGACAAAGAGATAATGTCTAAGTTTCTGATCCATACACTAAGACTGGTTCAATCAATGTTCAAAAGGTTTGGATTTTTAAGGAGGATGGAAGGTTAGAGCGTCAAATCTCGTGAAGTTTGTTAAACGCATCCCATGCAAGAGCATTGTGGATGTTGAAGTCTTTTTGGGAATCTATTATGTGAGATCCATGATATTTGAAGTCATCAACGCTTTTGATGGATATATTATTGAGTAACTTCAACTCGGATGGTTCAGAGGAGGTTGTGATATATTCTGTCTTACTCACATTGCAATAGAGACCTAACCTGGTCTACTGCTTGCTCGAGTAATTGCAGCAAGGATTCTGCATCCTTGATACATTGAGAAATTAATGCAAGGTCATCAACAAAGTCAAGGTCAGTCAGATATTGTGGAGAGTACTGACTACCCTTGCATGGTTTCAAAGGGAGTATTTCATATATAGGTTTGGTTTGGTTTACAGCATATCAACTTCAATAGGTTATTTAATGCTGACAAAATTTTTAATATTGGTAATATTTTTTTTTTTTTTCAAAAATCTATTTCTGGTAATATTTTTTTCTTCAAAAATTTATTGCTGGTAATAAAAAAAAAAAAAAAAAAAAAATGTATTCTTTTTTTGTTTTGTTTTTTACAAAGTATTTCTGGTATTAAAACCTATTTTTACACTTTCATAGTGTTTTGACTCCAGATTCGAGGTTAACAATTTACCTAACAGGTGCTACTACACCGGGCCAGGGTGGACCTGAGAAGATCAGCAATTAAGAGGTGGTTCCACGCTCCTCAAAACCTCCTGATCAGAGGCCTTGTTGTTGGACGTAGTTTATTGTCTTACCCAGGATACATTTCATATATAGGATCAAATCAAAGTCGGTATACAAATTTCAAATCATTTTAGAACCTTTTAAAACAGAAATAGTATTGATAAACATTACTAATTTTCAATAGCATAAAATCTAGTCTTAAAATAAAAGACTTACTTGAACAGCGGTGGTGATGTCCTTAATTTTACAACATTTTGGAAAGGTCCTTCGACAACTGGAATTACAAAGGAAAATATCAGGACTATTAAAAAAAAAATAAAGTAAAAGCTGCAAAATTAGTTGCTGAAATTTAAGGAGTCAAAGATAGAAAAATATGAAACTTAAAACATTAACATATATGAGAGTTTCCTTTTTTTTTTCAATTTTACTTCAATTTTTTTTTTTTTAGAAAAAAAAAAAAAAAAAAGTACTGTTTAAAAATTGAATATAATGTGTACATAATGATATTAAAGATTTTAACAATCTTAAAAATAATCATTTCAAAAGTGAGGTATAAATTATAATTAAAACAGGACTCAAAATTTTGCAAACTCTCTCCCAAAAACTGGAAGGAGTTTTCCTTTGATTTTAAACATCTTCATACATAAACCGAAATTCCTTAACACACTGACTGCCAACCACAAGTTACCTCATGGTTTTTTTGGGTTTTTTTTTTTTATTATGACACCAACTACAAGTTATCTTGTGCCAACTACAAGCTATCTTGTGTTTGGCAAGTTTATTTGCAGTGACACTTTTAGTGTGAAAACAATGTTAAGTTGAAGCTATAAATCAATTCATAAAAATGTTTTATTGCCTAAGTTGGCACTTGAAGTCAAATTTTGTATTCAACCTCTGACATTGAACATGTTAAACACCATATTTTATGAACAACAATCAGTATAACAATAAGGTCATACAACATTTGTATGAATTCAATTAAGACTTAAATATAATGATTTCTTTTGTTTATACAGCGATAACACATTTAAATATAAATTTTTTAAAATATGCATTGCTTGAAAAGAAAACATTATAAATGAAAGTCTATCTTTATAAAAATTATTCAAAATGCAGTTCACAATGAAAAGAATAGGAAACAAGACAAGGTTCCAGGGTTTGTCTTAAATTATGATTTCAACACAAATAATTGTGAAGAACCTTTCTTAACAATAGCTTACTATTCTCTTTTAGTCATGGTAAAATTAATAAAGCACTAATAGCATTAAGTGATTTCTCAAAATGTGGTCTCAATATAAAATTTATAGACTTATATCAAAGTATATCATTTTTTTAGTTAAATGTATTAAAAATGTCATCCTCATCTCAGTAGAAATTTTATAGACTTAGATCAACTCACAACTTTTAATTAAAAGTCTTAAAAAAGTTTTTAGATTTGTGGCGAACAACAGTTAACATTCTAATTTCACAAGACATTTCTCTTGAGTTTTGCTGGGTGCTTTAGAATTTAGCTTTGTGCTAAAGTTGGCTAAATCCAACAAATAGAGGAGTACCAGTTTGTTTACTCAGTGGATCCTCTGAAAAGTGGGTTTTGCTCATAAATTTTAAGTTAATCGAACTAATATGTACACATCTGTAATTAGCCTACCCAGAAAAAGAAAGGTTAACACCAATACTTTATTGTCTCATGTTCGATCTTGCACGCGATGAACATTTTGATTCCCTGAGCTTAATCCAACTAATATGTATGCATTTGTAATAATGCATACCCAGAAAAAGAAGCGTATCTGCCAATACTTTATCAGCTCATGTTAGACCTCTCACATGACTAACGTTTTCATAACCTGAGTTTAATCCAACTAAATTAAACTTAGACAAAAGTAAATCACATTTTGACTGATATGAATTTTAATAAATGATATCAATATACAAAGTTCTTGGCCTGAACAAGAAGCACTTACAAAAATATTTTTGCTGTTTGGTCAATTGGTCAGATTTTGGGGACTGAGTTAGGCTGAATGCTTTCTAACTGCCCCACTGGTCTATCCAAAAATTACCCAACCATTTAATATTAATGGAAAAATAGCCTACATTTCATCTGCCTTTATAAGTACTTCCCATGTACCTTTAAGCTCTTATCCCAGCAACTCTTTCAGGTTTCCAAACAATCTGCAAAATCCTCATTTGGACTCACTGTCAACAACTGCCTCATCACATTATACTTAATCTTATCCACAGCCTAAGATCTCCACCATTTCATTGGTGATTTTTCCTTTGGGTAAACCCTTAAATTGCAGTAAAACAAATCTGAAGTGGAAGCTGATACATCCAGACGTGATACTTTACCAAAAAACCCTAGCTGAAGCATGAATAAGCAGTTACAATAATCAAATGGCTGAATATTTTCCTGGCAGTTCATGAAATATTTAATATTTTTTAATTACTGAAGAACTTATGGATTGCTTTCCATGGATTCCCAGCAAAATTTGAAGTGGCATTACTAAAATTCTATCTCAGCTTTGCTTATTGAAACATCTCAAAACCTATAATTATTTGAATAGGAACCGGAGCTGATAGCTAAATTTTTAAACAAAAAACTCAGTGCTTATTAGCAAACACTGAATAACCCCATGAGTAAATCTTCACACAGAAACAGAAAGACCTCTATTGGTTGGATTCAAAGTTCCTTCAAAGACACACAGTGAGTATTCAAAAAATGGAAATTCCATACACATTACCATATTGTATCATTACTATTGTGTGTGTGTGTGTGTATATATATATATATATATATATATATATATATATACACCATACAGATCAGTGCCATTAAGCCACACACTAATAAACAATGATGTCACTTGAGCCACACATGCACAATGAACCCCAAGATTTTTTGTCGTGTTCATATTCAAATCATAATCATCAGTGGATCCCAATTTAAAACAAATTCAAACTTGATTGTGACACTTTAAAGTCTTATTTTTTCTGTATAATCTTTTATTTTAATAAGTTCATTAAATTGAGTTTTAATACCTTCAGTATATCCATATTTTCCCAGGCATTTACTATTGTTTAGGCTTTGGCATTTCACACTCACGATTGTGTAGTGGTTTGGACATTTGGATTATGAAATATGCAGCTTACAACCTTTGCCCTAACTTAAAAATTTCACATATTTACTCAACGAGATTTGCTCTAATATTGATAATGTGCTTTTCCAAATAATATATATAACCTGCAAAGAAGAGCCATTTTAAATCCTGCTTTAATGGAAAGCTGTCATTGCAGTCAAATAACATAAATAATAGTTGTTATTATGAACTTTGTTTTTATTTTCCATTACATACATGTAAATTTATTAAAAATGTTGTTTCATTAATTTTGTAAAATTTGAATTGTATCATTACATTGCATAGAAGCCTGTGCTTGTATGTAGATGTATTGCATTGTTATATTATTTTATTAATATATTGTAGATGTATTGTTATAATATTTTTGTTAATATATTACAATACAATATATTATAACATTTTTATTCAAAATCTTAATAAAACTATAAAAAAATTAATTTTATTTTTTTCTTGTTAAAATCATAAGCGTACAAGATTTCGACCATCTTTTACTGTCATCAATGATGTCTCAATTGACATGTTTTAAGCTGTCATCTTTCAAATTTATTCACATTGGTGCAAATTTTTATATGAAATTAAAGAATAGTTTTAATAAATGTTTTTCAAAACTGCCAATATTCAATTCTTAGTTTTGAATACACATTTTGCATGCTAACCACTGTGTTACCCATTTTTACGGATAACTCCATTGACTTGACTATCTTTGTTTTGGTGATCTAAGGTGGCAATCCTGACATTGCGGCTCACTTTTGATCTAAACTACGAACAACCTAAACCACTGATAGAAGTTTTCGACCCCAACTACTGTGGTTTATTGGCACTGACCTGTATAAAAGGTGAACATTGAAGCCAACACTCAGAGACGACAGACTGTTTCATGCTAACCGCAATCGTCAGACGTTTATATTATATATATATATATATATATAAATAAATAAAAGGCAGTTTAGTGTGTGTGTCTGGCTAAATCTAAAAACTACAATAATTCATGACAAAGTAAATATATATACAGACTCATTATCACCCAAAACATCTTTCTGTAAAAAAAAAAAATTATCACTGTATGATTTGTATTTATGAAGATACTTTAAAAATGAACTGCATTCGCGAATATATTAAAATTAGAACATATTTGCCATTATACTGGGAATTGATGGACAAAAATTTAAACCCATATATAGTTTGGAAAATTATAGGCTCTGTACAAGCTCCAAATAGTTTTAGAGATAGGTGTGATTTATATTTAGAAGAAAAAATAGGTGTAGTCTCGATCAATGCCAGCTTGGCAAAAATAATATAAGATTTAATTATTCTAAACACACACAAATGCATACACACACAACACATTTTTCATTATCCATCTGATGAAGCTATTAGAGGTGAAATGCATTATAGGATATTTTATTTTCAAAACATTTTCATGAAAGTTATTTCAAATGTTAATAACTCCTAACACTATTTCCCAAATTTATTAAATGCTGTCAACATGGAGAATGAATGAATAAAAACAATTCTTTAATTTATTTTCTACCCAATCTGAAAAATTTTTATCTCAAAACTTGGACACTTAAAAGCAGAGAGTATAAAAAATGTTAAACAATTTTTTTTTAAAAGTCACTCATTTTCTTTCTATTTTAGTCTAGAGCAATGCCAGCTTGGGAAAAATAACATAAGATTTAATCATTTCAAACACACATCGCATCTTTTAGTTATCCATCTGATGAAGCTATTAGAGGCGAAATGCCTTATCAGATATTATTTTTGAAACCTATTTTCATGAACATTTTTCCAAATGTCAATAACTTGTAACTCTGTTTGGATTACATACACAAATTTATTATATATATATATATATATATATATATATATATATATATATATATATATATTCTCCTTTGGTATTTCCATATATATATAATATACTACATATATATATATATATATACACACACATATATATATATCACACACATATATATATATACACACACATACACATATATATATACACAAATGTATATACACACATACATATATATATACACACACACACATATATATATACACACACACATATACACATATATATATTAACACATATATGAACAAACACATATATATATATATATATATATACATA